TCTTCTCAGGGGAAGTTCATGCAACTGGGGTCAATCTGCTCACCTTCCATTATCTAAATCAGAGAAACTGAGGTGGCTGCAGCTTAGGCAGAGACTGTTCCTCTCGCTTTGAAGCAGTTTAGTTCGTACTATCCCTGCAAGAACAGCATCTACACATCCAGTATTAACTGCAAAACTGTCTGTGTTCCCAGAAAGTCTGCCCAGCTCACGGCTGCTCTCTCTGCTATCCAGATCAAACTCTAACCTGTGTTCATATGTTTGAGTTGTGAACACTGGATATCAAAAACTTGCAGACACAATTTGCACATGCCTATGAGGAAGACAAATATTTTTAAATCTCCACAAATAGGTGAGGAAGCCCCAGCTCAGAAAGATGAGGAGGTCAGCAGAGCAGACTGCAAGCAGGAACTGCGAACTCACAAGTGAGGACTGGACAAAATCCTTTTAAAGTAGTGCAGCATATTCTTTAATCATCATCCAAAGATCAAAATTTTAATACAATGCAGCATCATCTGGGACAGCTAAGAGTAAATTTTTAAACATTACAGAAATTACAAGAAAGAACAGGCAGAAACCCCTTTCACTCACCCACGACCATTTTGGCTACGTCTGGTCATTTTCCAAAAGGGAAAAAGAACAAAAGGGCAGAGCTGGTCAACACTGCTGCCTTTTGATTTATCAATTTACAGAGAAAGGGAAAATGCCGATAACAATTGTAATTTATTTTCTCATCCTTCATATTCTGATCAGCCTCAAACGGGGACAGACGTGAGTCCAGCTGACCTCAGCTGCACCCTATAACCACACTGCAGCAAGATCATGTCTCACTGTTATGTTTCAGGGGGATTCCTGCTAAGCACACCAGAGTCGTCTACACCTACAAACGCACGCAACTCTGCCCTCTGATGTGCCCTGCTGATCCCCCTCCTAGGCAGAGAGCGACTTAAAAGGAACCACTCTGGCTCACTTCAACTGCGCAAGGTCACAGTTACACCATGTGCTTCTTTCTGCACCTGGCAGCTTTGCAGGAAAGACGGCCAAGACTCGAGTGCAGACAGCTTGAGCTGCAACTATCCACACTGGGAATGTCTCTGCACAGGGGTCCAAGCTAGAAGGCATCTCAAGCTGCAATTTGACCCGTTTATGTGTTGCCTCAGTACTGTCTCTGATGAAGTATTTCACACTGCTGTAAACAACTTCAACTTCAAAGAGAGAGTTCTTCAAGAATGTGGTTGTCTATGGGAGTTGGCATGTAGAAGAATGTGCACAGATTTGAAAACAGGATGAATGTTCAACTTCCAGCTCATCACTACATACCAGAAGTCACTGCCCTTCAACACCTGTTTCAAAACTCAGATTAAAAAAAAAAGAGTTGGCAATGTCAATCCAGCCGACACTGACAATGCTGACAGCCCCTGCCATGAGCGTGATGCTCGCTGGCAGCTCCAGCGGATGCTCACGTGCCTGCAAGGAGAGGTTATTCCATTCTTCACTTGAACGTTAAACAGAAGCTGTTTGGCTGATCTTGAGGGGAGCTTGGTTGAGAAAGTTTTGCGTAAAAGATAGATTAGGATACAAGGGCTGTGAACACAGATTCTACCCAGGTTCTGAGTTCAAACAGAAACACATTGCTTGAATTGTGAAAGTTGGTATATGTGAAAGCAGATTTCCAGTCTCTAGTGCTATGAAATCAGCCATTTCATTACCATCAAACTCAATTCACTGCTTGGGGAGGGGAAGAGTTTGGAAGTAACACATTTTGAAGGGAGCTCTGCTAGTGCAAATGGTTCTCCATCATCTCTTCTTTTGTACGTCTCTAAAAATGGGATATATATTCACCTCTGCGAAGTTAAAGAGGTAATTGCCACCTACTTAAAGCTCTATTTGGAGAGAAATAAAAATAGCTTGGTTTTAATAAGAATTTGGTTCTTTGCTTAAAATGATTATTAGAAATGTGACTAGAATAATTATTATAGTTTCACTAATACCATGAAAATCAGGCAGAATTGCACCTTCAAACATTCTGTGAATATCTCTTCAGCCATGAGAGCTATGAACATGACTTTCTGCAAAAGACCTGTTCACTCTTTCATGATATTCTTTCTCTCTTCAACTGACTCATTCAACAGAATATAATAATTCTGGAAGAAAATGAGAAGTCCCTGTGATTGTTCCAAGACATCTCAAGACTCAAGTTCATTTAAGTTCACAACTGTCCTTTCCAATTATGTGCTCTATGACAGCATCTACATGTCTGCAATTATTATTCCACAAGAATGCTAGCATATATCTTTTTCTTTCTGCACACTGAAATATGAATACAACATAACAATAACAAAAATAATAATAAAGTATTTCAAAGTAAAAGAATTAAGTAACTGTCCTCGGGGCAAATAAGTCAATTGTCTATTTCAATCCTTTTATTTTCACTATAGATATGCAGATATTTTGCTTCTAACTATATATTTGAAACAGAGTGATAAATATTTCATTTAGAATAGAAGGTATAGTCTGTCCTATGATTTGTAGTCTTCTTCTGGAGGAAACCATTATCAGATCTTTATAGATTTTCAACAGAACTGATTTTCTCAGATAATGTTCCAACTTTGCAGTAATTTTTCTTCCCTTTTTAAGAAGTAATTCTATCTTTGTAAGAATATATGCAAGGAATTTCTTGTACTTTTCAATATTAAAAATGTAATTGTAGAATTACGGAGATACCATTTACTTTGAGTGCAGCAAGGCTTTGGCCCTTCCTCCCGTCACTGCAGGGTGGGCACATAGGGCAGGGAGGTGGGTTGGCAGCCGCCTCAACTGCTCGGGTCAGAGGGCTGCAATGAACAGCAGAGCACTGCAGCCCAATCCCCAGCGGTGCCCCATGGGTCACTATAGGGCTGAGGCTGCTTAGCATATTCATTAATAAATTAGATGCTGGGACCAAACACTCCCTCAGCAAGTCTGCAGACACCAGCGAAGCGGGAGGAGTGGCTGATGCACCAGAGGGTTGCTCTGCCATTCAAGGGCCTCACAGACCACAGAAATGGGCAGAGAGGACCCCCAAGTTCAGCACGGGAGGTGTGAAGTCCTGCCCACGGGCAGAAATAACACCACGCACCAGCAGAGGCTGGCGGGGTCGAGCGGCTGGAGCGGGGTCCAGCTGGGGCCAGCAACACCTCCCTGGAAAAGGCAGCCAGTGCCACCCTGGGCTGCCTCAGAAGAACCTTTTCTGCACGCTGCCCCTTTGCTGAGCACCGGGCACTTGTGTTGTCACTTTGGGCAGCTGTGTTCAGTGCTGGGCTCCCAGTACAAGAGAATGAACAGCCTGCAGTGAGTCCAGCAAAAGGCCACAGAAGTCAATAGGGAACAGCAGCATCTCTCATACAGGGACAGCAAGAGCTGGGAGCGCTGCGAGCGTCTCAGCTGCACAGCCTGTGGAGCACAAGGCTAAGGGGCCCTTTCCCATGTGCCTACCTGTGCGAAGGGAGAGTGTGAGGAGAAAGGGGCCAGACTCCTTTCAGCAGTGCCCTGTGACAGGATGAGAGGATGTCCTACCAGCACCTAAGGAAAAGCGCTGTGCGAGGGACGGAGGTGGGACCAGGCTGCCCAGGGCGGCGGGGATGTCTGCAGCGCAGCCGCCTGCGCGGACACAGTGCTGAGCAGCCTACTCCAGCTGACCCTGCTGGAGCCAGCGGGGCTCGAATCCCATCGTCTCAGGAGATGAGAGAGACACAACCATTACTGGAGTATTACAGTGGCATTTTAGCAAGAATGTGAGGAAATTGCAGTGAAAAGCTTTAATGTTCATTAGTAATTTCTTTAGGAAACGTTCGCACTTTTTTGTTTATACTATTTTAATGAAGAGATGTATACTTTCAGAGCATTTGTATTGTATACAAAATATGCATTTACCTGAAAAATGTCACAATGCTGTCTCTGATAGCATCGTACAGACATTGCCAGCTCACTTTCTACAAAGTTCTGTATGACTGTGTAGCATTCTGCAAAATCTCAGAGAAAAGGAGAAATGAAAAAATTATTCCCTCACTACAGTTTTAGTATAATACACATTCTTCCTAGTTTTCTCCCCAAAATGTTGAAAGTTACCAATTCTGCAAATGCAGTACACCATCACCAAAGACTTTGTCAGTGCTGAAAATCATCTTACCATCCAAGCTTATATTTAATTCCCATCTCCCTCCCAAAGCAATAAGCTCTTTGGCTGATCCTGCCTTCTTTTACTACAGGATCAAGAACAGGATATGGTTTGGCTTCAGTATTTTTCACTGCTTTCTACTAGTCTTTCCTTCAGAATTCCAGAATGCCAGTACCACCACAGAAACTTTAGTCCTTTTCCCATCCCCGCTTTCCTCCTTTTTGCAATCTTAAGAGCCTCCCAGGCTTCCAGGCAGCTGACAGAAGAGTTCAGCTGAGGGTTGTGGTGATGATGGAAAGACTAACACGGAAGCATGGCTGGATTGTAAGTGTAGTGTCTGTGCTCCTGCAGCAGCATCTGGACTGCTGCTATGCCTAAGGGCTAGAGCTGAGTCATTAAAGGGAAGATGAAGCTAATTGCAGGAGATAAGAAGACAGTGTGACCTCAAATTGTCTGAACAGATTCAAATGAGGAGGAAAAAGAAAAAGACTGAACCATGTGAATCAGCCCCCTTCCAGACTTGGAGCTCTCACAGACCATGCGGTTACTAAAACTTAAATTTCCTTCAGCTTGGTTTGATGCCTATGTGAGAACACATAAAATTCATGAGTCAGTACTGCCAATATACGTTGTATCATAATTTCCCATATAGGTCACAGAAATCACACGGTTTCAAATTCTGTTAAAAGACGGAGTATGAAAGGAAAACATTCCACATTCTTTGAAGACTTCCTTCAGTAAGAATGCAACATTCCACTAAGCACAAGATGTGCAGATCTGTGGAAATGATGTTCATTTAGGCTGAGTTAGTGGTACTATCCTACTTACCTCTTTTATCAAGCCCTGAAATTTTATTTTTTGTCCTCCTTAAGATGCTTTCTGTCAGGCATGCCTGTATTGCTTCGTGTCTGTCTGAAAGAAATCCTCTCTCAGAACGCATCTGTAAAACAGGTAACAAAATGCTGTGACAAGAGTCATTATTGTACCTCATTGATACTTACTCTAGCTATACCCCAAGACTGCCATCAAACTATTCCTCAAGAAAAAGAAGCCAAGACAGAAAACTATCAGGAAAGAAAGATGTCAGAATTAAGAGTCTTCATGTAGGTTTTGCTGTTTGCCCATAAAGCAAAAATACACACTGTCCCCTAAAGAAAGAAGCACTTAAAAACATGATTTTCAAGTGCATGGCTCCAATAGAATCTCACAGAAAAATAAGGTAAGAGATAAAGTAAAAGGCTTACACTCCGCCTGCCCTACAGCAGGATGCAGACGCTTGCTAATTGCAGCTCTGTGATGACCACTATTACATCAGTGCAAACACCTTACGATCCCAGCGTGCCGCCCGCTGCGTCTCCGGGGCATGCACAGTGTCACGGAGCGTCACATTCACTGCTGCTACTGTACACTGTAAAACCGCTCAGCTGGCCCGCTCAGCACGAGCAACTTAGTTCACCCTCACAGTTTGTGAACAATCCTCTGGCTAAAACATGTACTAACAACTGTAAGGGCCAGGACTAGAAGTAAATCCATCCATTTGAGTGGATATAGACAAGTGTGGGGGAGAAAAAAAATCTAAGCTTCTGAAGAATGACATGATGCCTATAGAAAGCTCTGGTGTCTATGACAAGCTTATTTAATTGTTTTTTTTTTTCCTCAAAGAAAATTCAGGGTCTGATCTCTCACCTTTTCTAAGTACAAAGTAACTACTGATTTCAGTGAAGACAGAGACAGCTCAGAGTTAGAACTCTGGGGGAAGAAAAAGTTTGATGAGCTTTACAAAGTCAAACAACATAACCCCTGCTGAGCAACCTCCCTCATCTTTCGTAGAAAAGGCTGCAACAGGCACTGATGTCTGTGAGGAGAAACACCCCACGGATGACAGATGTGTGGGACGCAGGGAAGCCGCAAGCCTGCAATTTAATGCAAGCAGGGGGAGTGCTTCACTCATAAGGGCTCAAGGCCTCTATTTACAGTTCCAATAAAGTAGAAGTCAGCAGAATGTGATGCCTCCCGAGTGCCTGCCAACGACCTGGACAATTACGAGGAGTGGGACTCCTTCCGGCCACACGGGCAAGTCATTCCGTGTTCTCTCCTTAGCAGAGCCAGGCAAACAGCCTCAAGCTTTTCTGTGCTTTTCTGTACCTGAAGGGGAAACTGCTGCTCAAGGGAAAGCAGCACACACCATCCTAATGAAGTGAGACTCCGCCACGTGCATGTGTAATGGCAGCTAAGAGAGAGGGCAAGAGCCCTCCTCACCACGCGGGTAACCTTAACCGAGCGCCTCACACCCCTCTCCTGTATTTCACGACTCTTGCAACCATGTACAGAAAAACACCCTGTGTAGAAACTAAGGAAAATATTCTTTTGGGGTACTTCTGCCTCCCTCATCAAGAGCCTGATTCAAAGTTTCCTGAAATTTAAGTCTCCAGTGATTTTAATGGAATTTGGACCAGATGACAAAAAGAAAAAAAAAAAAAAAAAAAAAAAAAAAAAAAAAAAAGAAAGATACTGAATGCACAGCTCCTATAAATGATTTTGTGCGCTGAATAATCCCTACACAGATAGAAGCATTTGCAGGACTCAGTCCAAACCTATATACTGGGAAAGAACCTGACCCAAGCACACGAAGCCCTGCCCTTCACCTGCCTGCGCAGGATCTCTGTGCGAGATGTCTTCTGAGAGCACGTGTGCGTCAGACCGCGTTATGCAACTGAAAAATTGAACACTCAGAAGTCAAAGACAAGCTGCTGCTCTTAATACAGTGAGCAACAGTGGTCTCCCAAGATTCTCTCGGCAGACTAAATGGGTTAAAATGATGAAGGATTTTTAATGTGTGTTGACACAGATCCAGGATGAACGTACAGTTACATTAGTTAAGTTGGTGACTACTCTGCCCACTGCCAGTAGAAATGTCTTCCTCTTTTATTATTTAAGGCTTCTATTTTTAACATTTATGATGTAGAAAAAAAAAAGTGCTTCTGCCTTCTCTGCAAAAACACATTGCAAACGCCATAAAAGACATACTTGATTGATTTTGATATTTCCTTTACTCCAAGTTTGTACATAATCTTCCTCCTTTTCTTTCTCTTCATTCTTTGTAGGGATGCAAGAAAAGAGAAAAGCTAAAATACCTTTGTGTCCTCCTGATTACTGAAAAGAAGCCCTAGAGCAGGATCCTGAGTTTATGCTCTAGCAGTGGTGGCCAAGTGACTAATTCTTCATGACTCTCTCAACCCAGCTATGAACTTGCACCAAAAGACAACTGCCAGTTAACCGTGGGCTGCACGGAGATGAGCTCTGCCAGGAATCGGGCCCTCTGGTGTGGTATTTTCTGGTGTCCTGCCAGTACGTCTGCTTTGTCAGACCCTAATCTAAGGTTTTCTAATTTGTGCTGTAGATATGATCCTCGCAGATCAGGCTACCCTGTCCATATCCATTAGCAGCAAACGAGAGATTTTTAATGAGTCACATGAGCAACAGCAGAGCAGTTTCCTCCTCCTGTTTCTCTAATGTAGACTAAAAAAAGTTGTAGAGAGAAAACAGCTTTGCTTTTACCGTCTCCTGCTAATAAAAATGACAAAATTATTTTACCATTCCGGGTGGCATTTGCCTTATGTCAGCTCGTGGCATTCTGACATTCCCGATTAAGCGGTGCCCTCTTGCTGCTCTGCCCGGGGCCGGCGGCACGGCGCGGGGCGGCAGCGCGAGCCGCAGCACACGCTGCGCCAGGCGGGCGGCACCGCCGGCCTGCCAGTCCGCGCTGAACCCAACTGCTCCCGTGCAGCCGTGCTGCAGCAACCTTCCCTGTTACTGTTGGCCAGGTCCGGGTTTATTTTTAGCTATGGATCACTAGGACAGTCAACTGTGAATCCCAGCCAGAGGGCCAGGATACAGGCAAGCCTATTCACAGCGGCTCCATTTTGCTACGTGATTGCCAATATATGCAAACATACTGTGAGAGGGAGATTTGCTTTTGAAACACTGATTTCTAATGAATAAAGTCATGGAAGTGCAGATAACATTCTCCCTGATAAGGCAGCAAGACTTTATTAAGAAATCAAGAGCATTTTGTAAAGAAGCTTAGACATAACATTCACTTAAGCCTGTGATAAAAACCAGCAGTGCCTCTTCAGTCTCTGTGGTTTTAGTCCCCACAACAAGCAGAGAAATACAGTCTAGAAAAACAACTCACTGTGATTTTCCTCCCTACCTTCACCTTCGAGTACATGGTCTGATGCATTTGTATCTGGTACAGGAAGATAACCAAGTAATGTTCTAACGGTCTCACCAAGCAACTTGTTCTTAAGCAGCAGTCTAGCATAGTTAGGAAAGGTGTTCATAGGATCATGGAGTATTTTTAAAGATAGGCAAGTAATTTAAAAGCCCCCCGATGACTTTTCAAAAACTTTTCAGAATGATATTAAGTCTCACTATAATACAGTGCCTTGACTACGCTACTCCTTCACTATCAATCTGTCCAAATATTTGCCTTTACTGTGAATTGCAACTGTATTTTGAATGAATTAGGAGTCGTCTGGGTTGCGACTTGGTATTGTTTGTGGTGTAAAGGATTCTGAAGTTGACCACAAATCTCTGCTAAAAGGAAGAATTTTGTCATGGTGACCTGAACAGTTTTAAAATGTAACAACGATTACTGCCCCACACCACGGCAATGATCAATGGTAGTACCAATTCTAGCAGCTCCTCCTCATAAAGTCTGCCAAAGGTTCCTTAGACTCTCATTCCCTCCAGGCAGACACAGCATTTGCCACCTTTATTGAGACGCAAGTAGCAAAACCCCTATTAGCTTCCTGAACTCACTGATGCTGCCTCCTCCCTGCTCTAGTCCATGCTCCAGCCTTTGCTCCAGCCTGGCCCTCTCAGACATACCCTGCTCTAACACAGTGATCTCACCTAAGGAGCACACTGCTTCTCTGCTCACTCTGTCTGGCTCCGGAGTTGCTGCTCTGAAAGCATTTCTCCTGCTACAACTGCACTGGTACAAGCTAATAAATCCCTTTGCCAGGGAAGGTATGACAGTTTAAGTCCATTTCTTCCTCTCAAAACTGGCACTCACTAGAGGAGTAAGCAAAAGGCTGATCTTGAGGGAAATTCTATAGACTTGCATCATACATTTCTATTGTTTTCTTATTCTGCATCACCAACGATGATAATTAACACTCAACTGTGCCAAGAAAAAAAAGCCTGCTGTGTGAGCTCTGTGCTCCAGATTAGGAAGCACAGCCCTCAAGCCCCGACACAAAACCAGGACCAGCGAAAGCACAACTGAAGATACTACCTTTGAAGATGCCTTCAGTCCAGAAATGCTCCGCACGTCTTCTTGGGGAGTCATGAGAAATAGATACACCACCTGGGAAGGAGAATAAACAAACAGCTAAAAGATTTGTGACATTTGCCTGCTGTTAAGCTTCATTCATGCCACTGATTCTTCTCAATTTAAACAAGACATGGAAAAGCAGGGCATTTCTTTTTCCGCAAAGTTACAAAAACAAGGACAGACCTTTCTGACCTCTGAGAAAGGAAGCCACTGCTTCACAGTACCAGCAAAGCTAAAATCTCTACCCCTAGGTTAGGAAGCGAAGTCTAAAACAAGACTGCACAAATTTCCCAAAGCTTTTAGACTCAAATTCTGAACTGATACTAAAAACTGCAAGCACTAACTGCAAAAATAAGACATATCTCTATTCTAAACATGTCACATGTTCATAATGACTGATAACTGGAAGAACTGGGCAGTGGCAATAGCCATCAAAGAAGGTGAGGTGGGGAACAGCTTTTATTTATTAATCATCGATCCTATTTAGTATTTCTTGTTGCACTATTATTTCAAGATGATGTTATATTTGCTTAGTATATTTTGTTTCTTGTTTCAACAGAAGAAAACTCTGTAAATGCAGAAGCACCTCTTTCAAGGGTACCGAATTACATTTCCAGTACTCTTGAACTGAAACTCAAGTATATTTTTATATTAAAAGAAAGCATTGCTTTACATTAAGCTAGGCCCTGGATGTTGCTGCCCCGAAGGGCTATGCCCCCATTAAAAGCAGTAAGTAGGGAATTAATTCTGCATCACTTTCCCCTGTGCCCACATCCCTTCCCCTCACTCCTTCTTCCCAGATGGAATGTGGCCAAACAGAAGCATTGGTGCAACACGGCTAAGCCTGCTTTACTGAAAAAGCCTATCTGCATCTATTATAAACCCAGACCTACATGCTTAACTCTGACCAGAAAGACAGCACTTCCACAGAAAAGCTTCCTGGCAAAAGAAATGTATTAGTTGTGTATTACAAATAAGTTGAACATAAACAAGTTTTATTATTAAGACTTTAAATAAAATCTTTCTCTTCCAAGGATTTATATAATTTCATACTCACAGGGCAAAATCCCTGAAGTAATGGGATTCAGTCACAGCTGCTCTACCACAAATCTACAAAATTAAAATAATAAGTCAGATAATTCGGCTAAATAAAGTAAGTCCTTCTTTGCTTAATTTATTTTTCGTAAACAAGCTTGTGTACAAGCACTGTGGAACTCTTCCATAACACATATATAGACAGAGGGCAAGAGCAAAGGAAAGAGGAAACATGGCAGTAAAGAGGGCTGAAAGGAAGAATGCAAGAATATGCAGCATAACTAGAAATCAGCATTAACAGACAAAAAATTAAACTTCTCAGGAGCCAGGAAAGCACTGGAGAATGAGGGAACACATTCCACTCAGTCAGATTAAGCAAGATCACAAGTTAATGATAATGAGAAAAGCCTATTGGAACCACTGAAAATAAAAATGAGGGCAGGAAGAAAAAGAGAGAATATGGCATAATCCATGTAGTTCAAAGGGGGATTTAAATTTACCAATCCAAGAAGGAATGTGGCTTTTCGGAGCGACTGCCCTGTAGTCTTCCCAAATCAATTACTGCGTCATTTAAATACAATTCTGCCTCTCAAATGGCCATTCCTTAATCCTGATAAAATTCTTCCACTCTCAACTAAATACTTTTTCTGAAGATAAGTGCAGGCATCACGCCAGCTAGCAGTGAATACCAGGGGTAAGTGACATTAAAAGGCTGCAGACCCTTGCAGACCCTCAGGGTTTACAGCATCTGGGAACTTTCTTCAAACAGCTGAACCAGGACTGATTCTAAACCCAAAGGTAATATACATGCCCCTGCCATAGGAACTATTTTTCACTCTTGTATGACTAGCCAAGCTGGCAATTGCCCATTCCTAATTAAAAAAAAAAGAGAAAAAAAAAATCCTACAAAGTTTTACCTGTAGCTGGTTTTGTCATAATGAAGATATGGGAGCTAATAATAAGACAATATTTTCTATCTTCTAATACAAGCAATCAGATGGTAACTAAAAAATGAACTATACAAGGAGACTGGCATAGGATCTTCCTCCTCAGCTAATGTGTGTTTTAGGCTTGCACTAGCAGTAGTACACAGGAGTTAAGCTAACTTGCGGCAAGGAATAACCATAAACCAGACCTTCTCTTTGCGAAATAGGAACACTCCTTCCTAAAAAACTGCATTATCCTGCCCCAAAGCTAACATTGTCCTTCTGTCTCAGATGCCAGTGTCTGTAACAAGCCCAGGATGGCCTGTCTCTGCGGCTGCTTAGTCCTAGCCCTGTGGCACGAAGCGCAGCGCTCCGCAGCCGCGGTCGGAGTGCACCAGCACCGGAGCACACGTACAAAGGCAAACGTTTGCTCCTTCCCGGACCAAGCAGCAACACTGACACAATTTCAGAGCTACCCGACCTGAAAGGCTCTGGGGCCCAGAGGTTTCCCAGTGCAGGCACACTTTGACAGAACAGCCTCGTAGAGTGTAACAGTGCTATTTTAACAACTTTTGTGAAATTTAATTCTTTCCTCACAGATCACATGCACTGATTGCACCAGATAATAGTTCAATTCAGGTACAAATCAGGATTGTTCCTGTCCTTGGTTTCAGACCTGGCATTTATATGCCATCCTGCTATATAAAAGACGTATGCAGTTGGAAGTTGAGAAGTCAGCCTTCTGTGTTTTCCTCCTCCCTCTGTCTCTGCAGCTTAGGAACCGAACGGGTCTCTCCCACAGAGCCTGCTGAAACACAGCTCACACACAGGTGTTTATGGACCACTACCTTCCTCTGGCTCTTGGATAAAACTGTTTGCCAAGCTAAACTTGGTGGATATAACTAGGAATGCAATATCTGCTGTCATTATACACTTCAGTGGCTGCAGCAGAGTGCCCGTGCCACACAGAGTTACCGGGAAGGCCCGCAGTGCCACGCGCACTAAATCAGCACTTCTGAGCCAGCCCTGCTCACCACCTTTTGGTAACACTGCTCCACCACAAAAAACAACTTACTTCTTATTCACTGTCATATTTCCACTACCAGCAAATGAGATCCAGAGAGTCCAACTCATCTGCAGGCATCCTTGAAGATCACCACAATCAGCTCCTGACGAACAATCTCTGTGAAACTGAAATGGAATACTAACACTGAAGGCAAAGGCAAAAATTTGCATGTGTTCCACATAAAATTAAAAATACTAAACTAGCAGTTACCTTCCAGCTCTTATTCCATAAAAATTAGCTGATATAGCCAGGGAAATATATGTATTGTGATATTCACACATGATGAACTAGCATAAGGTATATTTTCTTTGATGTTTTAACAGAGAAGCTACAGACGACCTGATAAACAGACTTGTGCTTCAGCTTAAAAGCAAAGAAATTCCATAGTAAAGCTGTACTTCAATGCAAACTCACTCAAATAACATTCCTCAAGGGGCAAATACTACAAGGAATCTTTCAGAACCTTCAGTTTCTTTGATATTCCACAATATCTCTTATGTGTTTACACCTCAAGATTCATGCATTTTTGCACTAAAGAGATTAATTCTTCAAATAATCGTATGAAGAATACTACTTGATTTACACGTTTTAATGTCCTTAACCACACATACAAATTGGGTATCTGCCGTAACAAACAGCCCTTAGCTTCATTTCATCAAGCAGGATTAACTCCTTAAAAGAACCAACTTACAACTAGTGTGCCAAGGGGTTCACCTCCAAAAGAGATGGAGGGCTCCACAGAGCCCGGCAATGTTCCCCACGGAATTATTATTAAAGCCTGAATTTCTTTGAATCCATGAGGCCTCCAGTGCACGCAGCCAAAACTCGATCGTTACGATCACCAAGAAAAGCTCCAGAACTTTCTCCTCAAGCTCTGAGCACAAGATGCCCTAAGTCTCTAGGCACCACAGGGACCGTCGGCGCGAGGTTCTTCGCTGTGTGCTGGGCCTGCTCTCAGCACCAGCACATCCCGCAACCCCCCTGCCAACAAGCCCTCCTAGCACTACTGAGCCACGCTGCAAAGCCTGCACGGGAGGTCCTGCAGCTACCTGTGTAGCTTTCCATAATTTAACACTTGCTCATTTTTAATTTTTTCATGTTGAATCAGTAGTCTTTACAGGTCAGATATAAGGACAGGTATCTAGGTAAGAGTGCACAATGACAGAAACACAGGAATAAACTGAGCAATAAAGAACAGCTAGGGAAGGCAAGCAGCCTGGAACAAGCCAGGCAGAGGAGCAGACCCCAGCCTGTTGCAACATCCCTCTCCACTGGGCGCTCTGCTGTAAAATGTACAATCATTAACATGGATATCCTCAAACGTTCCTTCACAGGCCCTGGAAAGGGAAAGCACTGCGGTCTTTTAAGCGTTATTCTGATTGTCAATTAGGCCAAACAAATGGCAAATAGTTCTGTATGTGCTGTATAAACTCTGTGCTTACACGCTGATTTAGAAGACACCTAGTGCTCTTACTTTTCTGAGTTCTGGGTTAAGGATGCAGTCACAAAGCGCTGCCCGCTCACGGCTGCACGTTTTTAAGTGTCTAGACAGAGGGTAAAGCCTTGGCCTCATTCACGTGCCCCGGTGTAACCCTTTGACACCAGCTGCAGCTGTTCTATCTGCTGCAAGGGAGATTTCCACTTACTGCTCAACAAAAGATGCTTTGTTGCAACGGTCTATTTGGACACGGAGGTTCACAGTGCCAAACACCTGCATTTATTCAAACAGATGTGCAAAAGAGTCATGTTTTGTGGTTTTGTGATTTATATTATCTTGCCAGATACCAACCTTTTAATAACTAGGTAACACTAGTGAAAATCAACTGGGAAATCTGCTTCAACATTCCATTTGTCACATCCTTCACACACTGAACAGCAAGTCTGAATGTGCAACAAAAAGAAACTTAGCTCTTTACTAGGGCAGAAGAAGAACAATTTTGCATTAGCTCCCTGTTCAAACACACTTCCCTGCTCTGCATGCCTTTCTGTGGTATAAATTTGTCTAGTTTGCAAACTGATTGTGTGCAACTGCTCAAAAGCACTCCTAATGTGGAAAAAGTGCACCTACCAAGTGGCTGTCATCCTAAATAATACTGCTTTTAAAATGCTTCTTGTGAACTGTATCACTTCAGCAGCTTAGTGCATTGCCTTACATAAAGTTTTCCATAATAGAGAGACTCTATATACTTGGTCTGTTTCCTAATTCAACTCCACAAATTACTGCTATCATAGCCTATTGACTGAATTTGTAAGAGAACGCTTTTCAGCATTCTTTTAGCAGCATTCAGCAGACCTTCAGGATGGAGGATGCTTTCAGCCCCTTGATTTTGCTCTGCAAGTCCACGTGTTATAACTGAACCCCAGCACCACCGTGCAGCCTGCACCCGTGCTGCCCTGTCCCGGGCATTCCCGTGTCACCCGTGTGCCTGTGCATCTCCTTGGGTTTAACTATCGTTCTACTGTAGATTTTTGGGGAGCAAGAATGGACTGGAAATGTACTGTGAAGACTGGAAATGTACTGTGGAAACATGCAGACACCTTTTGCCTAGACGCACTTTCTCATCATATTATTATGGCAATCCTGACCTGCTTCCTTTTATATGACATATTTTAGATTTGCCCCTTGGCCCACTCGGTGAAGTGGTATACTTGTGACCAGAGACAACAGATACTTTATATACACATTCTGAAAAATAGGATTTTTTCTGACTTGTTGAGGTTTAAGGTATCTTCTGAGCTGAAAAATTCACAAAGGCCAGCTCTGTGTCCTGTACCTAGAATAGCAGCATAACCACTAAGCTTAATTTACCAGTTTACTCATGTTGTCAGACTATCTAGACAAAAATATAGCACTGCCTTTGGAAGTTCTTAAATTCTATGGAGTTTTCCTCAGTTCAGACAATAACTTGAGCCATTAACCATTAGCCTGAACCATTATCCACAGCAATATATCTCTATATTGAAGCACTCCATTCCTCTAAAGCTGTTCATCATGTCCTTCAACCTCAGCAATTCTGGTCAAGCTTATCCATGTCAGCAACCTCAATGATGTCTTTCTTTAAAATACACTACAAGAGACAAAACTAGTGTGGAAAACTGATGAAACAGAGCACTTGCAACACATCCTTGTGTGAACTTGCAACGACGATGAGCTGGACACGGTGACCTGATAGGCTCATGTTTATTAGTCAGCTGAATTAAAACTGAGATGCTGAGATTCTTCTAATAAGAAGAAACCAGACAGAGAATTAAGGCAGCTAAACCAACACCCTCCAGATTTGATAAGAGCTACTTCGACCCAATCATTCTTCTTCTATCGCTATATACTGACTTCTCCTGCAGAAGTACTTCTGCATGTGAAATTAGAAAATGACCTTAGCAGTTCACCTCACTGGAAATAAGAGAAGTCTGAACAACCTTGACCATTTTTGGATTAGCTTTGCATGCAACTAAACTCAGTTGGTGTTCATGGACAGCAAAATCATATTGCATCATTTCTGACATTTACACATTTCCTCTTGTTTTGTTCGTTGTGTATAATAAATGACTTCCATATGTATTTTGAATTTAGGGAATGCATCAGAGACTCTTTATTATCCATAGTAATTACGCTACAGTCTAACAAAACAATACTTTTGTTATTTTCCTTCTTAAATTGAAAACACGGAGGAGTTGACGTACGGTTCCTGCTCCCGCTTAGGATGAAATTACTGCAAGTACACGAACATAGGAATTAGCTCTCTGGCGCTGATCCCTGGCAGATCCCCAATTTTTATGTTTTTGCTGGAAGTGCCCATTACATTGGGCAAACATTGGAGGAAAACACTAAAAATGTAAGTACGGATTAAGTCTATAAAGGAGTAAAATCCTTACATTCACGGCTAGTTTATACAAAAAAGCTCTTTTTTTTTTTTTTATATTAGTCCTTATGAAGTATTTGTAAAGCGTCCCATATTCTTAATAAACACTAATCTGTACTTTGAAGTCTTTATGAGTATTTTTAATATCCATTTCTCTTGTCACTGAATATAAGTAATGTTTCATGTTGCTGAGGAGAAAAGCATCCTGGCATGATGCTTTGTAACTTTTGCTTATATTTACCATCACTGTTTTTGAACTTGTTGTTGCCTTTATACTTCTCTTCAGGTATTAGAAATTGGCAGCAAGCCATGTGTAGAAGAAAAGGAATGGGAAAAGTCAAAGTTACAGCACCAACTTTATTGTTGGGGGTAATACTGACAGAGAAAAATACTTTCCTAATTTGTAAATATTCATACTCTAGTAATTCAGCTACTAATTAATCTTTCATGAAAAGGTGAGGATCAGATATTTCCTTTCTATCCTGAATTTCCAAGGAATGGGGCATATTTCACTGAGCAGGTAATTTTTGAACAGTGCCAAATTCCGAAGGCCAAACGTTCTCCTTTGTTACAGCTGGAGAACTCCTCTTTCATAGCCACATGCTGCTCACACTCATACTCATTTTATACATCTCCACTCAGGAGCCCCATTTCCAGGAGAGCTTCCACACTGTTGCACATCTCCTGGGCCCGAGGGGCATCAAGCTGCCACAGTGGTCCACACAAAACAGCCAGTGGCAATTCTCACCGGGAAGGACCCTCAAACTCCTGCGATGTTACAGAGCATATTCCTTGAAACTACATCAGCCCAGAGGAAGCACTGTATGGATACTGTACAGTGCCAGAGGTGGTATGTTCAATTATTAAACAGAACGGTCATTCTGTATCTATATTTAATTAGGCAGCTTTAAAAAACTACAAGCACCACCTATTTTGGCAGAAGATTCAGTGTACAGTAAGACCCGGTGTCTTTCCCTTCTTAAACTCTCTGAAGACCTTGGCATTCACTCGTGTCATTTCAACAGCCTTCTCATGGCAGCACTGCAGGTTCCAGCTATACTGAGGAGCTACAGAGTTTTTATAGCACAAACGTAGGAAAGGCTGTCAAAACAATTTCCCAGGTAGCATATGAAAATCCTCCCTTTGTTCTCCTCAGGGCCGTGCTTCATTCCCTCCACGCACGTTTAACAGCTGCGACCCAGACGTGGGATCTTCTCTGCTTACCCCTTCCCGTCTCCTATGGAACAGCCACG